AACAACTGTAGTACAGGATGATCTATCAATGGTCTGATAGAAAAACTAGAACAAGAAATCTGCAGCTAAAGAAATGGCTGATAAGTTGTCGTAGGTTTTTCAGGCTGTTTGGCCATGTTCTGGAGGTTTTTCTTCTCTCCAGAACACAGCCAAACAACCCAAAAACCCTACAACAACCATTGAATCCCAGCCATGAAAGCCTTTGAGAATAAAATGGCTGGGTAGTTTAAATAAATAGGAGGAATTTAGTCCTGCATTATTCGCTGGTGTGAGAAAAGTGTTAGGGAAAATAGATTATCCTGTTCTTGTGGCAAATTAGGTGGCAGTGTGGAAGATGCACAGGTGATTGCTTTTTATTAATATCACACATTCCCTGATTTGCTATAATTTATAGCTTGGCTGGTTTATATACTAATATTAGACATTGGCAGTGATGCTACACTTAATAAAATGCTTATGACTATTCATCTATTTACTGAATTGTTACTCTAATTGAATTGATATATTTGTTTATGAATCATTTTGATTATTGATATGTCTATTACTGTATCCACAATTGCTGGGAAGCAGAGCAGTAATGTTATTATCATGTCAGCCAATAGGGAGGGTTATTTGATTTCTTTCCAGAGATACATTTTCCAGTTACTGCTTTTTAATGAATCCCATTGGAGCAATGATGCTTTTTCTGTATACCTTTTGCAAGATCAACTGTTGACAATACAATCACCCAAATCCTTTTGCATGCCTACTTATGCAAATGTGTAACTCTGAAGGCAAATTGTACTCCTAAATGTGTATAGGATTACAATCCTGGAAGATAAAGGAAAAAACAATACTGCAACTTTGAGTGTTTATGTTCATCTACATGAAAACTCTACTAACTAGTTGCTGCTACATGCTACCATGCCTGACCAAAAGCAATAAGCTATATATTTTTGAGTCAGAAAAAAATGAATTCCTGTGAGAAAAGTAAGGCGAGGATATTAAAAAATTATTCAGTTGTCGAGCAGAGATGTCCAGCACTCCGTCTTGCCCGGTAATTTTCTATTCCTTTCAGCCTGTAACGCCTGACTCTGTGGCCAAGGTGCTTGATCGCTGTCGAGCCACCTCCTCCTCCCTTGACCCTTGCCGGGCCTGGCTAATCAAAGCAGCCAGGCCAAAAACAACAGAATGGGTCACAGCAATAATAAATGGGTCTTTCCTTGAGGGCAGGTTTCCATCTGCCCTCAAGGAGACACTCATTAGGCCCATCAGAAAGAAACTTAATATGGCGGCGGATGAGATTGGTAATTATAGGCCCGTCACCAATGTTTCTTTCATGAGCAAAGTGGTCGAGAGGATGGTGGCCAACCAGCTTCAGGCACACTTGGATGAAACAGATGCCCTGGATCCATTTCAGTTGGGCTTCAGGCCGCGCCACAGTACAGAGACGGCACTGGTCGCCCTGTATGATGACCTGTTGAGGGAGGCTGATGGGGCAAAATGTCTCTGTTGGTCCTCCTCGACACCTCAGCTGCCTTCGATACCGTCGACCACGGTATCCTCCTGGGGAGGCTCTCCGAGTTGGGAATTGGTGGCTTGGCGCTACCTGGCTCCGTTCCTTCTTGGAGGACCATCCCCAGAGAGTACAGCTTGGGGAGAGTGTCTCAACCCCGTGGAGTCTCAACTGCAGGGTTCTACAGGGGTCGATTATCTCCCCAATGCTGTTTAACATCTATATGAGACCACTGGGAGGGGTCATCAGGGGGTGTGGAGCGTCGTGTCATCAGTATGCAGATGACACCCAGCTCTACATCTCCTTTTCACCAATAGCAGGTGATGCTGTCCCGTCCTTTCAGCGCTGCCTGGGGACCGTACTGCAATGAATGCAGGAAAATGGGCTGAGGCTGAACCTGGACAAGACAGAAGTTCTGAGGGTGGGAGCTCCCGTGGCTGGCGGCCTGGGTGACTCTCTCTTGTTTGGGGGGGTGACCCTAGCTGCGAAGAGCGGGGTCTGCAGCTTGGGTGTATATTTGGACCCAACGCTCACCATGGAAACACAGGTGGCGTCGATAGTCTGTTCCGCCTTTTTCCACCTTTGGCAGATAGCCCGGCTGCGGCCCTGCTTTGACACGGGGGCGCTCACCATCTTGGTGCTCATGATTAGACCACTGTAACACGCTCTACGTGGGGCTGCCTTTGAGGCTGATGCGGAAACTTCAGGTGGTGCAGAATGCAGCGGCCAGACACCTTACTGGAGTGAGAAAACAGCAGCATATCTCTCCTATTCTGGCCATGCTGCACTGGCTGCCCATCTGTTTCCGCATTGACTTCAAAGTGTTAATGCTTACTTATAAGGCCCTAAACGGTTTAGGACCTCGATACCTGGCGGAACGCCTGCTCCCACCAAGATCTACCCGGATCACCCGTGCAAGCCAGGAGGAGAGGTTGAGGAGCCTGACGCCGAGGGAGGCCTGAAGAGAAAAGACACGAAACAGGGCCTTCTCGACAGTGGCTCCTCGCCTCTGGAATAACCTCCCACCAGAGATTCGCGGGGCCCCTACGCTGGGCACATTTAAAAGCCAATTAAAAACATGGATGTACATCCAGGCCTTCCCTCCTGTCAACAGTTGATTCTTTTCTTGCTATTTATTATTTACCATATTCTATCATGTATCTTACTTTTTCTATTGTAATGCTCCTGAGCTATTTTAATTTATTTATGTTATGTTGTAAGCTGCCCAGAGTGGGAGAATATACCACTCTGGGCGGGATATAAATCAAATAAATAAATAAAATAAATAAATACAATTCTGGAAAGGTGCTGACCAGAATGCTCAAGCCAAACAATTCAATTACAAAAATAGTACAATACTTTCAATTGTGCTTAAAATATTATTTATAAATATCTTGTGAATATATGCACATCTAAGCTTGCTGGACAGGTATCTAGCTGTGGAACCATCATTTGACAGTTCCATCTCCTACTGTGCCTCTGTGGAGAAGAGCCAGCCTGAGTAGCTTTAGGCAAGTTGCACAGTCCCAGGACACCCCCAGAAGAAGGGATTGGTAAAGCACTTCTGAGCACTCTATACCTATAAAACACTGGAAAGGGTCACTGTAAGTCAGAACTGACTTGATGGCATGTAATTACTGTGTTCCCTCGAAAATAAGACAGGGTCTTATATTAATTTTTGCTCCAAAAACACATTAGGGCTTATTTTCAGGGGATTTTTCTTCTTCTTTTGTACAACAATCTACATTTATTCCAATACAGTCATGTCATCTTCTTCTGGTTGCTGCACAATGGTGGAGGGCGGGGTTTGACTTCATTAGGGCTTATTTTGGGGGTAGGGCTTATATTACAAGCATCCTGAAAAATCATACTAGGGCTTATTTTCAAGTTAGGTCTTATTTTTGGGGAAACAGTATTATAAATATAAAGAGCAGATAGCACATAGGTAAATAGAGATTTAGTTAAGTTTACTGCAGAACCACAACAGTCAATGAAACGTAGCCAGGTCATGACAAACTTGGCATGCTGACTTTCAGGGGGTCTATTGTAAGTATGACTATATTTGGATCCAAATCGTAATGTCTAAGGAACTGCAATATACTCAGTTTTGAATTAAATCAAGAGAGCAACTAGGAAAAAATTAGCAAAGCACTATTGAAAGACAGAGAAGAATTCTTTCCAGATAATACCTTTTTAGCAGTAGAGCTGTGTATCACTATTAAATTTGTTCAGAGGTCCTATTTTGTCCAAGCAAGTATAGAATTTTAGGTAAAGCATTTCAACTGCTCAGGCCTTTAGCAGATGTCTATGCTCTCCAGATAAAGCAGAAAATATGCCTTGTAACGTTGAAGAAAAGATGTTGACATTTGAAACAGGAAAAAAAACATACAAAAAGCTGATATACATGGATACCTTCATTTTATGATTATAAATTAAGCCTCACTTGCCTTGGTATGGTATGATTTTGATGTTAGTATTTCACTAGTTGCAGCTTATAAACATTTATATGTGTTTGGTTTACAATACTGAAATCCGTCCTGAGATTTTCAGGTACAGATATTGTACAATTCCAAGAGAAATATCCACAGTAATCTAGAATACCTTCACTGCATGCATTTTTATTGTATTCCGATAATAAGACTTCAGTAGATGTATAGGTGTGAAAGCTGGACATTAAAGAAAGCTGCCCAGGGAAAAATGATTTGTTTGAGATATGGTGCTGGAGGAGAGCTTTGTGGATATCCTAGACTGCCAGAAAGATGAATAAGCAGGTTCTAGATCTAGCCTGAATGATCTCTGGAGGCAAAAACAAAAAACAAAAAACAACCTGCCCTGCTTTGGACACATTTTGAGAAGGCAGGATTCCCTAGAAAAGATAATACTGCTGGGAAAAGTGGAAGGCAGGAGGAGGAAGACCAAATACAAGATGGCCAGAGTCACTAAAGGAAGCCACAAGCTTGAATTTACAAGAGATGAGCAGGGTAGTTGAGGACAGGACATTCTGGAGATTGCTTATTCTTAAGGTTGTGACTTGACAGCACACAACAACAACAGAAGTAACTTCAGAATTTGAAATAAAATCAGTGCATGTGTCCACTTATTAATATTTTATTTCTGCTACTCATGACTGATCAGGGCATCTCCCCTAAACACGGAGCCATATTTGTTGTTTTAAATAACTTTAAAAGAGACTTATTACTGAAGAAGAGCAGAAATACATGCCTTCAAATTCAGCCTTCATCCCCACATGCCAGTTTAATTACACTTGGGATTATTCCAAAATGTAGGCTAATAGTTGCTCAGAAAACAACACAAGAAAAATTATATCTAGCATTCTTGTTGCAGGAAGCTGTTGGATAGGTGCAGGAGCACCATATAATGCTGGGCAAGTACAGGTTTATTACAAGTGTACTTCAGCTCATGAAGGTTCATTTCTGTCAGAATAACCACCAACTGGAAACATGTTTTTTTAAAAGAAGTTTATTTAATGTTAAATACACAGGTACATAGCCTTGAGGGTGAATTCTTTATGACTCCAAAACAACTTAAGGGCTTGTGTTAAAATTGTCAACACTACTGTACAAGTTGAAGCCACTATGGGATCATCTAGATTATACTATTTTATTTATATTCTCTCTGTTTTGTGAAGTCTATTCTCAGTTTCCTTTTTCTCATTTTTTGTATTATTTCTTTCCCTTCAAATCTCAATGATCTCTTCAAGTAGCCATGGCCAATATTTTGTTTTCAAACCAAAGCAACGAGAATTCACTGGACCTGCTTTTTACCAATACTGTATACCATATTTTGCTTTTTCCTCCTCTGAGGACATAAGTATCCCTGGAACCATGCTTTCGGCATCTGACTAAAATGATTGTGGCTTTGCTTCATTTGTTGCTGCAGGAACTTGTCCATATTTAAATGTAGCTACCACTGTTATTGCTAATATGATAATAGTTACCAAAAGGGATGTGACCATTGATTCCCACCACTTAACTGGTTGATCCACTTGCTCAGAAGCTGTGGAAACAGACAAGAAAAGAAAAGAAAAGTATTAAGCTTTTTTACAATGCAGAATTTGAGTTGCAGTACAGTTAGTTAGGGGATAAGTCTACATCTTAAGCTATCCATTTCTTCATGTATGTTTTACTCTACGATGGACATCTCCAACCTGTCTAGCTTTAGGAATGTTATTTCCAGGCTGTTCACCATGATCCCACAGACTATATTTACCAATTTTTATTTGTTTTCAGTCACAGTCCAGTAAGGGATGTAACTCTGAAATTTTGTGGAATTTTTCTTGTTTGGAAACATCTTCTGACATGCTAAGAAGGATAATGAAACATCCCCAATTACCAGTGAAGACCACCTAGAGCCATTCTATTGCTAATGTAAAATGATACAAATCATAGCAGGCTCCTCAGAGGTAAAGAAAGAGAAATAAGAGGCACAAACAGCCCATGACCAGACTAACAGCTCAGTGGGGCCAAAACACCTTGTTCAGAGAAATTCATCTTTCCTGATCTTCCAACATTTTCTCCCAATAACAAGATCCCCTTGCTATATGTGATTTTGGTATTAGACATGCAAAGGAAGGCACTGTTAAATTTTCCAGACATATTCCACACACAGAGAGAGTTTAAACAGTTTCATAACTGAACCCATTTTACTACTTGAAAGAGCACTTCTTCTAGACACACCAGTTCTTCACATCACCTGTGGTGGTGGAGGTGTTTCAGACAAACTTTCATATTTGAGAAATTAGACTTCAGAAGAATTCCATATTTAAGACCTATCCCAGAGAGGAAAAAGGCTATTTTCTGTGAAGTATAGAAAAACTCCCAGTGTGCATCAGCTGCTTTCAGATCTACCACCCTAACACAAATTGAAGGTACTGTGGTGCAGAAAGCATTGGCAGTAGAAAAAGAAATTATACTTACCGTACATTTAAGAGAATCTTAGAATCCTTCTCACAAGCTATATCATATTGATTATATTGCGGAGCATAAAAAAATATGCAATTGAGCATGAGAAATTAACTCACCTAATGGGGCTTCACAGACCCATGAAGCATTTTGCGAACAGGGAATTGATATTAGACGTTCCAGCCATGGATCCAGCTGAAGGCACAACTCCTCAATGTCTGTGAGAGTCCTGAAACACAAAATAGAAATATGAATCCAGACAAATAAATCCCACTTTATATTGCAAGTGTTCAGTAAGAGAGGAAATAATTTAGGGTGGTACAAAACTCTTAAGGACACTTGAAGCATGCTTGAACATAGTCAAGTCCTAATGTTATAACATTATTATAATTAGTAGATAGTACTTAGAAGACTAAATGGCCCAACAGATCTTGTTGATCTTGTAATGAGATCTTGTAATGAGAAGGAAGGGAGGGATTTGTCTCAATGAGTTCTTAAGGAACATTCCCCTCCCCAATCAAAACCTGTGATTTGACCAAACTTTACTGGAGCAAGGTGATGATTATAAACTCAGTTGATATCTTTGAAAACAAGTTCCAGTCCTGAGATTAGAGCAAAATGAGTGGACTCCCAGAAGTTTAGTGGGGATTCATTAAGCAAGATTCTCTGGAGGAAAGTATGTTGGGAGGCTGGTTGGCAGAACAGCCTGGGAAAAAGCCTTCCTAAGCATGTCAGACTGTATTACTTTTGCCCTGAGAGAGGCTCCAGTCTGGCCTCATGAGAAATAACCATGAAAGACTTGAGGTTCAGCTGAACTGTCAAGAAAGCCACGCCAAGGAGGCAAGTCACAAGCTTCTGGTCACACACATACAGGGCTGGACTTAGCAATATAACCTAGCCATGCTAACTTTACAATGGGAATCAAATCCTACGATTCAGGAACAAGGTATGAATACATCTGGGTAAAGAGTTGCATGCCCACCAAAGCATTCTGTTAAACTAGTTGAGACCTGATTCTTGGAGGCTTCCTGCTTGAACAAAAAAAAATGTTATCTTGTGCCTGTTCCACTTTAAAATGCCATTTTAAGACCAGGCTTTCATTGTTCTAGTTTGATTCTAGTCTTGTTCTGTTCTGGTAGATGGCTCCCAAGATTCCTTCCTGAATCTTGAGCCCTGCAACCTAGGGACTTTCCCACAGTGCCTTGTTCTTTTTCTTTCCTCAGATCACTTATTTCTGATAGATGTTAACCCTCTTTTGGTACAATAATGTTCTGGAGTGCAACAGCTAGAATCCTTGTTCAAGGCAGCTTTCCCAGAGCAGACACAGAAGTTACTGCCCACCTGGCACCACATGTCAGAGAGATTCAATGAGATCCCCGGAATATTTTTTCAATGCTGCTCTCTTGTAGCTTGAATTCCTTACTCTATATATTTTACCCATCAACTCTTTCACTCTTTCACATTGTGTTGAACTTACACTAAACATTCTGCCCACCCCATCTGCTATGCACTGCATGTTTCCAGAGACAAAACACTTTGACAGCCTGCTCCTTCCTCAGTCTTGTAATACTGCTCCCTCTTCCTTTTTCTCCATCCATTTCAGAATCACAATTCTCTTTGTTAGGGTAGCTCCTTAAATCCCACAACCCAGCTCAACCAGGCCAGAACCAGTTACAAGATATATTATTCTCATTCTCTGTGCAGGATTCCTCTGGATCTAGATTTCAAGTATGAATTTAAAAGTAACCTGCTAATATCATGCCAAAGAAAAAGAAAAAAATGAAGAAAAAATTGTGGCAACTTAAAGATTAATTGCTACATTTTAATAAGCTTTGATGAATTAAGTCAACTTCCTCAGACTTGGATCAGAGATTCCTGATGCTTTTTACATTGCAAAGCGTCAATGGAAAAGGGCTGAATATCAAATGGAAGTCATTACTAGGTGTGAAATACCACATCCACTCACACAATTTGCAACTGTCTGCTAATTAGGTTAAAAGATTCTCGTCATACACATGGCTCTTCAATCACATGTAATCTAGAATACCGATCTGGAGAGCTATACTAATAGAAATTGTCATCCAGTTCCTCTGTACTTTCATAAAGGAAAGTTCTCTTCTCCTCATTTGATGATTTGAAGTCTTTAGCTTCTAAAGACATCAGTTCAAGTACAGTACTCATTTTTACATTGAAAACTGCTGTAAAATTAATTGCTAATTAGATTATATCAAGACTCTGGACTATACACACGTCCTAATTTCTTTGTATAAAAACAGGAGGAAGGCAGCAGAAATAAATATAGGGCTTGATTCCATGGACAATATGAAACACTGTTGTATTGCATTCTGCTTTTTTTAAAAATGCTTTTTTTCAAAAGGTGTCTCCACCCTCTCTCACCAACGGAAGCAGTGGGAGAGGCTGCAGGAAGGAAGGAGGGAGGGATGAGTGCAAGGTCTGCTGTTAAAGCTGTCTGTAGAAAGCTTGGTTGCTTCTGTCCCTTTAAGAAAGCTCGTCTCTAAGAGGCAGAGAGAAGGGGTGGAACCTCATCCCTTTTGCAGCTCCAGCTGCCCAGAATCCTCCATCCCTCAGAGCAAAGGAGAGGAAAAAGAGAAGCCATGTTCTTTTGAATGAGTGAGTGGGTGAGTGAGTGTGTGAGAGAGAGACTGAAGGGACAAAAAGGGGATGGCTAAAGGGAGGAGAAGGGGAGGGGAGGACCACATCCCAAACAGAATGTGCCCTAGGATGCACCTGTTCCTACTGTAAAGGTAGGCAGTAGGAAGGTGAAGGGTGAGGAAGCTGAGATGAGAGGCAAGGGTTTATTACTAAGTTGTCTCTCTCACACTTTTTTTGTGGGGGAAAGACACCCAAACACACAACCTCACACAGGGACTGCTCTTGCCAGCTGCCCCACAGGTGAGAACGCAGGGAGACAAAGACAGTGATTCATATAACGCGTGATGTCACATGACTGTAAATCACAGCAAAAAAATCCTATACATATTGTGGAGTTAATCAACAATGCAGATAAGTCCACAGACTAGTGCAATTCCATGGTGGTTTTCATTAACACAGTTATAGGAAGAGCAGAAGCCTCAAGATGGCTCAAGACATATCAAAATGGGAAGTGTTCTCCCAAGTTTCTGTGTTTCCCTCAACACTGTTCTCTCTAACCTTCCCTGAAGGAATGAGAGGGTGGACAACATCAATTTAGATTATTACATTTCTTAGCTGTAAGACCAGGGGGTTGCAAAAAATCTATTCATCCATTGTTGCCTTCAAGGCACGGATTCTTTTTTATTCAGGTAAATATTATTTTTTTCACACGAAGCAAAGAATGGATACTTGCTCTAGCTCCCTTTCATTTTCTGCTTCATTAGCAACTTTGAAGGCTTATACTTTTATGATGATGATGATGATGATGATATGATTTATATACCAAACTCTTTTGTGATGGCACAAATCTGTAAAAAAAGAGTCCTTCTCCCAATGTAAAATTAGCTGCTGCATTGTTCTGCAGATTGACTGCAGTATATGGCAGAACTAAAGGGCTGAACAAGCTAGAGTTGAGGGTTTAAACCTCTCACTGAACATACCAAGTACTGTATGGATGTTCCACAGTTTGTTTAACAACACCACTTGCAGGATGAATCCAGGGAAGTGACTGGGCAGTGGTCTACAGCATGTTGGTCATTGACAGTGAGTAAAAATTATTTAGTGTTCTTCACCATTGTATTTTAATCGTACTGATGTTATCTGCATTACGTCTGCACGCTCTTTTTTTAAAAAGGAAGCCAAATTGCAAATTATGTGAAGAAAGAAAAGCTCCTGCTGCCACAATCACACATTATCAACTCTTAAAGAATTCTTCTTATAATAACAGGTTATTTTTAATATATTGCTCACTTGTTAGCAAACTTGAAATTAATTTGGCTGAAGGGTATGACATAAATTCTTTGGAAAATGATTCTAAAAGCCTGAAAATCTTATTTGCCTCTCGTGATGCAGGTCTCTTTCTGACAGGATAGCAGTTTCTGCTCATATGACCCTAGCCCTTTTTCTTGCTGGACAACTATGCTGTGTATGAAAACAGAAGGACCTGGCTATTTCTCTTTAAAATAAAACACTACTTCCTTTCCTTTGATATGGTGAAATCGTATTTTAACATGGATCCACACCAGATTGCACCATTTCCACTAGACAATGGTGGAGCAACAACTGTTGAGAAGCAACATCCTTTTCTGTTGGCTGTTCCCACTTATTCCTGTGGTGTTGTAACACTCAAGTGAAAATACAAGACCCTGTTATTTTTTTAAGTTTTAAGACCATGTTTATATTTACCTGTATATTTTTTCATCCAATGGTAAAAGCCATATTTTTGACTGGAAAGCTGGACTCACACTGTGAAGCCATATTCTTTTAGAAATTATCTTAGTTATCCAATCCTGCAAGGGATTAATAGAACATTGATAACCATGGCACTGAACGATGGAACATGGGCTGTGTTTGGTGAATGACATTTTCCCCAAAGCTACTACAATTGATGCTGCCTTTGGGATACCCAATTCTAGGTGAGCTAGTGAGCACCATCATCTAGCATACATGCAGTGTATTAGAGGGGAAGATCAAAGGAAAGTGAATGGTGGCACACATTCTATCACAACAACTTTCTGCTGGCACTGGTGGAAAGGAGTCAGCTTTGTGGAGATGATTGCTGTTGGAACATAAGTGAACCTGCGCCAGGGTAGATGAAGGCCTGTGATGACGCAGGACAAACAGAGGAGATGCTACATGTTTATTTGTAAGGCTTCACTGCGAATGGTATGGATACCAGCAGTTCCCTTGTAGTAATTTCAAGGAAATATTGGCAAATTAAAATAAGCAAGATGTAAATAATATAACTTAAAAAATCTGAATAACTGAACAGCAAAATAAAAATAGGACATCCAAGATTTGTCATCTCCCCCCCTCCCCTGTGCCGTTCCTTGAACAGTAGTACAATCCTAAACAGGTTTACTCTAGAATAATTGCAGTTGAGTAAATTATGATTCAGTTTTGGTCCATGATTCAAAGCAAACCATCCCCCTATCCCCAAAATTAAAATTATGCAGGAGATAGTCTTTCTTTTTAGAGATATGTGAAATACCAAAGTCACCAACCTTTTCCTCAGAGGTAGTCAAATGCAGAAGTCGGGCTCCTTTGTAGAGACTGCACATATACTCTGCATCACTTTTATTAATTTGTCCATAGGAAGAGATATAATAACAACGTCCGTTGAAGTATGTCCAAGAGTGGTAGCAAAATTTGCTTGCTAGTTCTTTAAAAAGAAACAACAAGGGCAGAGGTGAAAAGATTTGGACACACTTATATAATTACCATTGAGCAGGCAGCAATACAGTAAGTCTTCCCAGAAAGGATGTTAGGCAAAGCATAAGAGATTGCAGGGCATGTCTATTGGTTTTTAACACAACCCAGAAAATAACAATAACATGCTCTTTTTAATCTACATATTTTATTTTATTTTGTGTTTTTACACAGATAATTATTGTTATGCAATTGTCCAAGGTATTTATATGCTACTGTATTCTTGGGGCTTACCCAAAGAAGCAATAAAAACTGTATTCTCCTCCAGCAAAAGAAAGAAAGAAGGAAAGAGAGGAGAAATTTTACAAACTGTGGACAAGGTGTGTGATAGTAAGGAAAACACTGCTTTAGTGCATATGCAGGCTGCAGAATTAGAATGCTGTAAACTATTATTTTGTCATTGGGGTACATAGTGAATTATAGAGCAAAGTTTACAGTTAGTTCATAGTGGGTGGATGAGGGATGCAAATTGGTGATAAAATATGAGAACACAGTTTGCAAGATGGACCTTACAACAGATAAATAGTTTGCAGACATACATATCTGACTTCACCACCTCCAGCCATCAACTGTATTATGAGATCTGCATTAGTTTGCAGACATACATATCTGACTTCACCCCCAGCTATCAACTGCATTATGAGACCTGCAGCCCATCAGAGAAAAGGCACCAGATAGGAAGATAAATTTAAAGCAACAAAAATAATCATTTTGAAGGCACTAATAACAAATGTTCATTTAGGAGTTAGTATAGTTAATATAACAGTCCATCTGGGATTTACATTCTCTGTAAATCCCATTAACCCCCCCCATGCTTTAAGTAATGAATTAATTGCCATCAATTCAATAAAGCAAATTATTTCACCGCCCAGCATCAGTACTGTTAGTAGGTAACACTGACAAATTAATTTTCACATCTAACTTTCCAAACTCTGCGTAAGAGAACTACTCCTAGATCAAACAAGTAAGAATATGGAATATGAAAATGTTTTTAAGGAAGTAAGATCTCTTTTGTCCTTTTACTGTACTACTCACTGACTTCACAGAGTTTCAAATCTTTTTTTTCTGGACATGTCACCTTGCCAGCACAATTTCCTGTTAATCGATTACATGGTCTATCCCGTGGACATTCTGGACACTTCTCCTGGCAGTAGGCTCCAAAATGACCTTCACTACAAGCTGAAGACACATTTTAAAATGCAGATGAATAGTGCTGAAAGGTGGCAGATTTTGATGGCTCTCTTCCTTCAGAAAGCAGCAGTTCCACCCCATTCTGCATATATCAAGGCATGCCACACCCCATGGTTTAAATACTTTGACTGCCTGAAGTCCGGGGGGAAAATGATATCCATATTCACATTAAGAATGATACATTGCTTTGGACACATGTGAACATTATCATATTCAAAAGTGTTTACTTCCCAAAAATGTGTTGTGTCCTGAAGTCACACATGGAGTCATATTTTAACAGATGTAATGTCAGTGATATGTAATTGCTGTTAAATTTCTGATGAAACCTACATAAAACTTGGACAAGGGATAATTATTGACAATGTCTGTTACAACTTTGATGCCTAAGACCGTAATAATGTCTGAGGAAGTGGACTTGATCCAGGAAAATTCACATTAAAATGTAGTAGCTAGTCTTTAAGGTGCCTCAACATATTTGTCTTCTTTTTGTTTGTTTTCGCTTTTGTTTTCTTTTATTATTTGCTTAATAAGCTGGTTGTGCTAAAGGATAGCTTGCGCATGTATCCTACATAATTAATTCCTGAAAGGAACTGCAGTCTCTTTCTGGTTATCACACAGGATACTCCAAGAATCAATCTAGAGTGGTCCTAGCCGCCTAGAGTGGTCCTAGCCGCCTAGAGTGGTCCTCACTTGACCAGATAGGCGGGATATAAATAAAATAAATAAAAATAAATACAATAATAGGCGGGATATAAATAAAATAAATAAAAATAAATAAAATAAATCTTGATTAATAGCAAGCTATGAACAAATGGCACTTGTGACAAGACATACTTGCAACATCACTTATCTGGGAATCATGCCCCAGTGAACTCCAGTTGTAATAAATATTGGTAGGACCACACTGTTCATGAAGAAAATATAATAGAAGTGGTGTTTCTTTAATGTAAGTACCCTTGCTGGGGACTCTGCAATGAGTGAATGAAATTAATATTTATTTTTAATAAATTGTATATCAAACCTTCATCTAAAAGAGATTTTGAGACTTGTATACACAATAACCAATGATGTAGCAGGGCAAAAATTAGGTGTAGGGAGACAGTCTGTAGATGGGTAAGAGGGGAATAGGGAAAGCATACTCATTCTTTATAGATCTTCCTGTGCCCTGAATAGTATAAAGGCAAACTAAACAAAAGAAAATCCTGGATTCTATTTGACCCATCTCTACAGCTGTATGAAAATAGAAAAGAGTGTGTGAGGATTGCCACATACTCATCCTGTCACTTTTTAAGATATTAGTTAAAATAGAATTATTTAAAGCTGCTTTTTATTAGTGCTTGCTTTCTCAAATGTCCAAAATGATTTTATTTATTGTTTATTTATTTATGTATATTATATTGTATTATTCTTTTAATGTGATTAATACAACTATGTTGTGAACCACCCAAAGAGGGCTATGAGGTGGTATGCAAGATAGATAGATAGGTAGGTAGGTAGGTAGGTAGGTAGGTAGGTAGGTAGGCAGGCAGGCAGGCAGGCAGGCAGATAGATAG